TTAATTGAATTGCAAACAGCTGCAAACAACAGAGCAGAGGCAGATTTCTATATTCTATATTTTATAAGCCTTTAAGGTTCAGTTGATAAGATTTAGGTGAGAGGGATCTATTGGCAGAACTTGTCCTCATGTGTTTCATCTAAATTGTACGAATTGCTGTATTCTTTAACCTAGAATGGGCCCTTTATGTTTAAATACTACATCAGGAGCAGGTCCTCTCTACGGAGGCCACCATGTTTTTAGTCTTTTTTTTTTTATAATCCTGCTAACAAATAAACGAGGACCAAAACATAACCTCCTCGGTGGTGGTAACAAACTTAAGACGATAAATGACGATGACTCAAACATAGACCTCCCATCTTTCCATCACAAACACTCACTGGTAAACCTTAACATCTGCTAATATAGAAAATAATTACACCAGTTTATTTATTTTCTTATTTTATTCTTATTTATTTCCTTATTTTCTATCAGGTATCTGCATAGTTGGTTCTATTTATTCCTTTGGATGCAGTTTTATAACCGAGCCCCTGCATCTTTTCTACCATTAGGAGACCCCATCATGTTGAATGGAGAAGCGGATGCGCCATCTCTGCGCACCTCTCTGCCACGTTCTTTCTCTGCCCCTTACCCACCTCTGGAGGGCATCGCTGAGGAGGGCGCAGCAGTGGACCCCTGGCAGGTGGACCCCAGCGGAGCCAGCCAAGCCTGGCAGCAGCAGCCTGCAGAGGATGAGGTCACTGAGGAGGATTACCAGCTGGCTTTGAGGGTCGAGAATTACATCCTAAGTCTCATCCATCGTCATACCCTCTCACCACGACCATGTCAGCCTCGCACCACCCTGAGCCCTGACCCCCCATACTGCAGTGTTTCCGCCCACAGCTCCCTACACAGGAGGACTCCCTCTCTTACGACAGAGCAACGCCTTCCTGACCCCCATCTACAGCCGCATGTTGACCTTTTAGCAAACCCCAAGAGGCAGAGCTGGGGTTGTGACCAGCTAGAGGGGGAGGCCTGTGGAGGAGAGGCCCCGTCTTTGGAGGAGGACTGTTATCTGGCCCTGCCCTACCCCCAGTCCAGACCACAGTCCCTGGCTGGGAGGCTTCCATCACCTCTGCCCTCCCTGGACCCCAACTGTGGTGTTGGGGCTCTTGACCTTTGTTGTGAACCCGCATCCCCCCAGCATTATCTACATCCACAACCCCCTATTCATCACAAGCACAATTTAGTAAGTGCTCAGTATATCCCCGGACAAGCCTGCCATGCCCCTGTTCGTTCCCCCAGACACTACCATCCAGAGCAGCCTAAACCCAACCGAGCTGCTTCCTCTCCTGACCACCCTAACCCCAAGTTGAGACCCTCAAAGAAGAGCCACAACGAGCGACAGAGATCCAAGAAGTCAAGCAGCAAAACCAACCGATCCCAGTCAGAAAACAGTCTCCTGAGCCAGCGAGTGCTGCCTGAGCGCAGGTACAGCACCACTGAGAGGCACCAGGGCAGAGGGGATGTTGCTCAGAACCAAGGCCAGGTTGCAGGCCCACAGGTCGGCATCGGGGGTCAACGCTGGTGCTCCAACCTGGAGCTCAGCCAGGATGAGGGGGAGACCCGTGCAGGGCAGCCACAGAGACGACCACCTCGTAAAGCTCGCCATGGTCACTCATGTCCCCTTTCCCAACCCCAGAACTACCGTCAACAGCAGCTTCAACACAATGAGCGCTGGCACCAGGACCTTCAGGAGAGAGCACCTCTCTGTCGGGGGGAGGAGGGCTACAGCAGGGCTGCCCCCGCAGAGTCTGAGTCCAGCATGAGTGAGGTGTATTCCCCGGCCTCCAGCTCTCTGTCCAGTGACTCCGACGAGAGCGGGGGACTGGTGTGGCCCCAGCAGCTGCCACCGCGCCTTGCCTCTACCTCCTCTTCATCCTCACCTTCACCACAAGCCGCTGCCAACGCCCCCTCTCAACCAAAAGCCTTTGTCAAGATCAAAGCATCTCATGCTCTGAAGAAGAAGATCCTTCGATTCCGCTCAGGGTCCCTCAAAGTCATGACGACGGTGTAAGGACACGATCTATCCTGTTTTAAACCCATAACTTTTTCTACTGTGTCATTAAGCCATTGTCAGAGCAACATTGTGGCTGCTACTTTTGGACACAATAATAATGTATTGCTGCTTTCAGACTGAACTGCGTCGATTATGTTTCTAACACTTGACCGACACAAAACTGAAACAAACAAAAAGAATACAAATATCTCAAGATGAGAAAGAGGAGCCATAGATGTAGAATACACAGTCGAAGACAAGAGCCTCGGTGATTAGGGCCAAAGCAGGTGTCAATGTGCTGTTAAGAACAACATGATTTTTGCAGCAGAATCACGTTATTCAATCAATTGATCATTGATTTATGATCAATTGATTGAATCCTTGATCAGAATATATGACACCTAGTTTTTATCACTCCACTGCTGGTGACGTGCAACACTGACACAATGATGTCACCTCTAGTTTCTCCTGGTTCTTCTGGTACCTTCTGTCCCGACTGAAAACTTTTATTTAGAAAGAATCTGATTCACAGGTTGTTATTCAAAGTGATGCCCAAGGTCCCCCAACAGGGTCCACAGCTATGACAACATCTGTTCCCTGATTGGTTGATATACGATCTCCCACAATCCATCTTATATCCTGCTGCTCCACCCCTCGCCTGAATGATCCAGACATTTTCCTTTTGTGTGAATGTGTCTGACGTTAACAGTCTCCTGCTGCATTTTTCAATTGTGAAAAGCAAAGTATGGAAACTGTCTGGACCCAATTTTTGGGAAATCTTCTGGGAACAGCCAATGTGAACTCTACCTCTACCTACCTCTAATTACAATATGTTCTTAGTGAGAGACACTGATGTGATTGAAGATCTGCAGTGTCTGTGGTGATTAAATTCGTTCTGTACATGACATGATGCCAAGTTACTCTGAAGCTAAGTGACTGAATATGCTGCCAGTTTTTTTTATCACTTGATGTCATTTGGCCTTATCATAGATGTATTTGTGGAGTTGGCCGATCACAACTCTAAACGACTGATGTTATTACAGTGCAACCGGTATATTGTTCAAAGTGTCAAGTTCTGCTCAACACCAAAACTATAAATGAGAAAAACATGTTTTATGGCTTTTCTAAGAAATTTGGGTGAATTTTTCAAAATTGCAAATTCCTAATTTTCTCACATCAGCACCACGTTACATTATTGTATTCAGGAAACTTCTTGGTGATGATGTAAAAATGATTAGGAGGCATTATTATTGAGAAAAATCTCATCCAAGAAGCTATAAACTTATAATTTGTGCTAAGACTATTTTACAGCAAATCCTGTTTTCAGTATTTAAGAGGAAAATCTCTCATCTGTTCAAAGGTCGTTGTTCACATTTGGTTTTCTTACGATTAAAAAAAAATCTGTGAACCTGTGAATCTCTGAGCAGGGAATACATGCATATCCCTTTATCATAAATGTTAAATGTGGATTCACATTTTTAAGTGAATGTTTCTCCTGCTGCTGGCTGCTTTCAGGGCCAATGAGCTTAAATAAACAGACCTGTGAGTCAGGTGAGGATCCATATAAAGGGATCAGTGTACATGCATGCATCCACATATATATGTTTATAAGTGCACAAATTCATTGACACAGGGGCACAAATGAACTCACTCTTGTAAATATGTATGATTTTGTACATACCATAATGTGGCCTTGTTTGGATTGAATGTAGTTTTTAAATAAAGGTAATTTCTCTCTTAATTTTGGTTGTATTGTTTGTTTTTATTCTTTTTTTTCATGTGCTACAATAATATAATTCTGAAACAGAATACATGAACAAGCATCAGCATAAGAAAAGATTTAAAAAATGAGAGAATACGTATGAAAGAGTTTTCTGAAGCTCATTCTCACATTGAGCATTAAGAGATCAGTGTGGCTCCCTCTAGTGGTCTGTAGCTGCAACATGAGTGTCTGTTATCACCAATGATGATGATTCTGAAGCACAAAGCTATATTCAAGTCTACAAGTGCATCATAAGTACTATTTATCATTGTTTATAATACCTGATAATAAAAATTCCATTTCAGTATCTAATTTGTGGCAGCAAAAAAAGAGATGAACACACCCACATCCTCAAAAAACTGCAAAAAACAGAAGTGTTAACTTTTTTAATCACTATTTCCTCCCTTGTGTGCTCACACTTTAAGAGTCAAACCCCTGAGTCACTTTCCAGTGTAAAGAATCATACAGACATAATAAACAAATCTTTGACAAATATCTTACTGTAAATATTCAAGTTGTATATATTCACCTTCAAATTTCTAGTCTTTGTTACCAGACCACCTTCAAACACGGAAACATAAGTTGTTGTGTCTTTGAGTCTTTAAAGGTACAGTGTGTAGAATTTTGTGATATCTATTGTTGAAATTGCATGTTGCAGCTGAACACCCCTCACCTCACCCTCCCGTTCCAAACATGACAGAGAACCTGTGGTAGTTTCCAGTTGTCATAAAAACTCAGAAGGTGTTTAGTTTGTCCAGTCTCTGGACTCATGTAAAAAAACATTGCCTTCGTAGAGAGGACCTCCTCAATGTAAATTTAAAGTATTTAAATATAAAGGGCCTTTTTTGGGATAAAGAAAACTACAATTCATTTAATTTAGATGAAACGAACTAATGAAAACATCATGAGGATTATTCTACATTAAATATCTGCCAATAGATCCCTTTCACCTAAATCTTACACACTGGACCTTTAAACTTGAAATGATGAGTTGAATGAATGCACTGCCGAGTCCCAACCTCAGCACATATCAGAGTCCATCAGATCTTCGTCATGTCCTTGCTCGTGCTCTTGGTGTCCGTAGTACTGGCCCTGGTGGTGGGGTCCTCGCTGATGAAGTGGAGCACGTGGCGCAGCGAGCGGTTCATACTCTCTTTGAAGCCTCGGCCCAGGCACACGTACAGCAGCGGGTTGAGGCAGCTGTTGAAGTACGCCAGCCAGAGTGAGAAGATTTGTGCATTGTAAATTCTGGGTCTGTGAGGGGAATTTCGAGGCGTGAACAATATGAGGAAGTCCACAATGTGCAGAGGGAGCCAGCACAGGAAGAAGCTCAGCACCACAGCAAGGATGATGCGCAGTGTTCGCTTTGGGCGGCTCCGACTTCTGGTCAGGCCGCTCTCTGTTCTCCTGTACACCATCCAGTGACAGGTCACAATGACCAGGAAAGGGAGGAAGAATCCCGTCAAGAAGCGGAAGGAGGTGATCATCCAGGCGCTGAGCACAGTGTTGACTGTCAGACACTCTCGCTTGTCGTCACCTGCTTCGATCTGCTTGGTGTAGACAAACTGAGGGATGCTGCCGACCAGAGCCAGCAGCCAGACTGCAACGCACACACAGGCGGCCCACTTTGGTCGCCTTTTGTTCTGGCACCAGATGGGTCTGCTGACCAGCATCCAGCGATCGACGCTGATCAACATCAGCTGCAGGATGCTGCAGTACATCACCAGGTAAAACAGGCCCTTGATCAGCGTGCAGGCCACCGGGCCAAAGTGCCAGTGGTCATCGTGGGCCAAAGGGACCATGTGCAAAGGGAGGGAGAGGCAGCACAGGAGGTCAGCCAGGGCGAGGTTGAGGAACCAGAGGGATGTGACTGAGCGGGGCATGCAGAACCCCGTCACCCAAACCACCAGTGCATTTCCAGGGACACCGAGCAGGACCACAAGGCCATAGAGGACCAGAGCCGCTATCTGGATTGGTTGAATCTCAGGGGTAAAAACCTCAGGCATAATGGGCAGAGTGTAATTCTCAGTGAAGTTATAATCATAGTCAAACGGATATTCCATGTCCATTTCCATCTGTGAATGGAGAAGCTGTCAAAAATATAGCATTGCTTTAATATCGTGCTTAATTACATAGATAACATTATAGATTGAAGTGATGTGAGAAAAATATCACATTTAATAATCAATAACCACCAGTTGTCCTGATGTGTATAATTCAATGCAAACCATGGTTAAAGCTGTAGATGAAGAAGTTGTCAAAAATAATTGCCATGCTTTAATTTCTTTCTTACACTAATTTTGAAATCATCAGATATGAGACAAATATGTTTTTTAACATATAACCATGAATATTTATGAATACATAATTGTATGAGATATTTGTTTAAATAAAATAAACTTGATTAAAGTTGAATTATAAAATAGCTAGTCTAGTTATAACAAAATGCAAAATTAAATTTTTGTCATATTTCAACTTACAGATTCAGCAGCCTGATGTTGTACTGACACTGCAGGGGGGAAGTTATGCAGCTGTTGTCCTTTGTAGTGTGTTTTATACACGCCCAACTGTGATGCACAAACCCCAAACTCTCTCACAAGACTTCTATGCAGATTTCTCATATATCAGTGAAGACCTGGAGTCTTTTCTGGGAAAGAAAGTTTAATCTGAACAAAAATATTATATGTAATGAATGTAAAATGTAATAAAAATTAAAATTAAAAACACACTATTTACTATTTACATACATTTTTACAACACATTTTTAAATGCTGAAAAACATTTTACATATTATTTACAAAATGTATTAATATTTTTGTCCGCAATGTCTCAGAAACTAATGTTTCAGAAACAAATGCATTGTGCTTGTACAGTAAATAATGCAGTTGTAAATAAAACATCCTGATGCTGTAAGGTCATGTTGTACCACACAATAAACCCTCATACAAATGTTACAATATGACAAGCTTTTTTATGTAATGTGTTTTATTGATCACACCTTCTCCCAAAACACACACAATATGTGAATATGGTCTCACCGCACCTTTTAAGCAATTAGTACCTTTTACTTTTGTTTTGCTTGACATAGCCATTTATAAATCTATATACTTCTATACTTCTCTATACTGAACACCTTTTCCTGCAAGGGATCAATAAAGCTGATCATATCTTTATCTTGAACAAGTTGTTGCAAAAACGTAGTTGTTCTTATCTGCTGTCACTTGAAACAGTTTGTAAAGTTGTAATCATGTAGTTTGGATCCAGTATTATCTTGGATCATTCTTATTATAATTATTATATTCGAACAATTCTTTCATTTAAAGAAGTGATATAAACCATCCAAAACTAATTTCCTGTATTAATTGGATAAAATACTTTATTCATGTATTCATAATAATAATTTTACAGTAACAACTTCTCCATATAGACAAGTTATATCACAAATCAGCCTACACACAAACTTAAGTACACATTTCTACAAATCTCAGTGGTGTCTACAACTGTTGTAATGAAAACTGACTCACTAAAGCTGCCCTCTTTTTATTTGGTTGAATAAATGAAAATTAAGCCTTTTGGAAAATGTGTGTGTAAAGATGACATTAGTTGCATTTGTTATTCACATTACACGATGCATGTGAGTCATGAAATGGCTACCTCGAAGAGAGATAGATAAAATAATGTCATGACAGAATGTGATTAGTGAAATCAGTTTTTTCTTTTAAAAAAATCACATCTTACAATGCTCGACAAATTCAAGACAAAGCAAAAACATAGAGTTGATGCAGAGAACAGCCGGCACCTTTTACAGCGCTTTAATAAATACTGTACACAATGAGGGCATGAGCAGGTAAATGTCCCCAGAAGAAAACAGCCGGGTCAAAAGATGAACGATGAGGAAGATGTTTCATTAAGTACATGGTTGTTTTCTGTATCACAGAGACAGATGAGGTGTTAATGAATTAATGAACAAACTAAAGAAGATTTTGTTATCATGAGAGGCTGTCCTATGACATCATCAAGCCATTTAAAATTAGGAAACGAGAAGGGAAATGAAACACTAAGTCACAATGTCAGCAAAAGACAAATATTGCTCAACTACCACCCATGTCAGCAAGCTGACTCTTGCGTGCATGAGAATGTATAATTGTAGTTCACACTTTGCATCTTCTGTCTCTGGAAAACCCAGTTTGCAATGATTTCCTGATGAGGACCTTCCTCTTGGGGTCATCAGAGGAGCAGAGGTTTTTTGTGGTTAAATCAGTTGAGGGCCGGAGCGCTGCTCGGTGGAAGTGTGGGGGTGTCATCTCGAAATGCATCCGACTGCAGGTCTGTGGAGAAAAGAAAACATCACTGTTGTAAAACTGTGTTGTTCAAACCTTTTTGGCTTGACATTAAACAATATAACTCTGTTCATGTACAACTTGTACAACTCAGAGATCCAGAACATAATGCATTTAAGCTGAATTAAGTAATAAACACATAATTCTACATATCATTGAGTGTATTAATGTTGGATGTGCTGTGCAAGAACTTCTCAATTCTCACAATTGAAGTATTCAAGATAGATTGATGCTGTTTCAGTGTGACTATTCAGCAATGCTTGTGGTGAAAGGTCATCAGCTCTCAAGCAACAAGAAGAGTCTGTTCCATGGACTTACTTCTCACACGCTGGAGCAAAAATTAAAGAAATATTGGCACTTTAAAAAAATGTCAAGTTTACCCACCCCCCCCAGAAAAAAAAATTCATACAGAACAATTGAAGCATAAACAAAATAAAGCAATAGTAATAGTGATAATAATAGAGTCAAGAAATAAACAATAAAATGAAGAGTAACACCCCCCCCCCCAAAAAAAACCCAGCACAGACAAGATAATTATGACAAGTGACAAGTGATGAAAATATATAAATATACATTTTCAAACAAACATCAGATATTAGCAAAATAGATCTTAATATAAATAACTGAACATACAGTCAGGTAAAAAGGTACAATTACATGTTAGTCACAGTTGTCTATAGCTAATCTGTATTCTAAGTTTGAGTAGGAATCATTTTGGAAGAGTAGACAGTTTTAGCATTTTCATATATGTTAGAAATGGTTGCCATGTCATGTGAAATTTACCTGTGGGACAACCCAACGCACACTTTATTTTCTCCATGTGTAGAAACCTCATAAGTTCTGTAACCCACAGGACATGGGTGGGAGGGGCCTCCTGCTTCCACTTCATAAGTTTAAGTCGCCGAGCAATTAGGAAAGCAAAAGCAATAGCATTTGAATAATGTCTGGAAAGGAGAATGTCCTCTGGGCCTACTCGAAAAAACTGCAATCAAAGGGGAAAACCTCAGAAAATGTATTTATATAAATGTCCAATAATTATGAAGATTTGTACAAGTCCAATGGCAGCCAGATGTTTCAGCTGTTTACATATACTGCAGAAATAGGACAAAAATCTATTTTGAGAACTAGTCTACATCTATATTATCTCTATATAAATGCACAATTTAATGAAAGTACAGTGTAAGCACCTCAGTACTCATGGCAACAAGGCTACAAATGAATAATGAACAAACTTGCTAAAATTAGAACAATCTGTTTTATTTCAAGTATAGTTTTATTTGTCAAAATGCTTCATATTTCCATCCACAGTGATGTGAACTTTGTCAGGTTTTGCACCGGACGTTAGAGGATGTAAATGTCTGCAGACTTTAATTCTAATGGTGGTGAAAACAATGCAAACATATACTAAGTTATGTTCACACAGTATATTGACAGTGTGTTGAAAAAATGGAAATGGTATTAAGACAGGAGTAAAAAGGTGTTGTAGAAGAGAGTGTGTACAGTGTAGAGTAAAGTGTTCCACTCACCAATGAGTGTCAAGCCATGCTGTGGGTTCAGTATAACTGATGTCTCCTCTTCCTCATCCTCCTCCTCCTCTCCCCAGTCTGCGATGTTAGCTGGGGGGATGCACTGCTCCAGGAACAGGTCCTCCTCATCTTGGTCCATGTCCATTATCTCTGGAGGCCAGCGCAGCTCTCCGCTCTCCACCTCGCTCACCTCCGTGGGCTCCACCACAATGGAGGGCAGACGCTCCTTCCCGTGGCTCTGGTCAGGGCTTTTCAGGGTGGTCTCTGGGGGCAGGACCACCTCCACAGGGTCGGGGAAGATCTGAAGGAATAAAGGGGCAGAAAGAAGTTCAGCAAAGAGGAAAGTACTTCTGTAAATCTGCATCTATCTTAGAAGTTGTGAAAAATACTCTCTCTCTCTCTCTCTCTCTCTCTCTGCCTCTCTCTCTCTCTCTCTCTCTGTACTTATTGTGTCTCATGAATTTTAATTCTTGTTGTTCTTTTTTTTGTCCCTACAATTTGTGACAAGCCTGTCCTGATATTGTCCTGGTGTGATGAATTCAACTTGATTAATGATTATAGAGTCTGGTCACAATATTGATGATGACGATGGATCCCACCTGAAATGGCAATCTCTGGTCCTTCCTCTGCATGTCTTCACAGTTTGGATCTTGACCACTCATGTCCTCTGTCCCTCTGAAACAGAAACAGTGACATATTGGGAGGAGATGAGAAACTAAAAACACAAAAGAACAATTGCCATTCTCGGGATTCAATCGCACTTAATAGCATCGTATATCATATGAAGTCTGTGCTTAACTTCCTGTATGAGCTGAAACTCTTTAGAAATTAAGCTTTGTTTGTATTGGTTTTGGGCGGGTCTTCATTTGGTGTCGTCACTCTAGGATCATATGGCTCTAAACCATCAGGCCTTTTTGCTCATAAAAACATTTACTACACAAAATAGCATTTGCAGTCACGTGACGTAGGTTTACAACAACAAACACATTTAAAACAACCTGCTGTCTGTTCTCCCACAGAGCTGAGGACAAGAATCCCCTTCATGGCCCCACGTCATAGCTGAATTATAGGATCACAGCATCTAAAGCCCTTGTCTTTTGATTGGTCAGATATTTTCTGTCCTGCATCTCATTGGCCAAAGCTGCTGTGACTCAATGAATAATGTGACACTCCCTCTGAAACACATTCATACTCCAGATTATAGCACTCAAATACCAAAATGGATTATGTTCTTTGATGCCTGACTGAATAAATGCGCTGCTTTGGCAAACAGTTATCTAGGAAGACGTCACCTTTACAAACCCAAGTCCCCTGTGTTTTCTCTTAGCCCAGGCCTGATCCTGTGATCACAACCTGTAGTGTCCGTCAAGTGATCCTCACCTGTTTCAAATACATGCACGAGCCATGTGTCAATATCTAAATTCACTCTGTTTATGGTCTCCAGACAAGCCGACAGGGGGAGGATTAAGAACTGCGAATCCGTCCGAATCCTCTTTTCATCCATTGCTCTGTGTCTCAGTGTTTTCTCTCTCTCTTCATATAAGTACCAATCATGGCTTGTTTTCACCCGGAGGCCTGGCTGTAATGACACAATCTGTTCAATCTTTCTCACTTGTAATGAAATTTCCGTTTAGAGACAGAT